GTGGGACGACATCGACAAACTTCAAGACGAAGCTACAATGTATAGGGATTTTAGTTCAATCTTGACAGGGTTTTGACTTTTATGAAGATAGCAAAGAACGTACAAATAGAGATCTTAGAAGGTTTTTTTTTCTAACAACTATGAACTTTCGTAATTTTACTGCGTAAATTATTATTGATCTTGTATGGCTGTTGATCCGGTAATAGTCGAAACCGGAAATAATTCACGCGTATGGGGCGGCGTGTTTGTCAACGGGGATATTCTAATTCAAATGAATCTTCAAAGTTCACTGTCGATTTTTACTATTTCTGGTTTTAATATTTGTCACATTCTAAGCAATAAATTATTTCTTGTTACACTTCTAATGCTGCATATTGTTCATTTATTTTTATTGTTCATGTTTTATTTGCCGTTTTTCTCCCTGTCACAGTTCGATCTGCGTGTTGCCAATTTTCGCGTTTTTTCGTTGTTTTTGCCGGGGATATCCGGACAAACACCCACCCCTTCTTTTTGACGATTTTCCATGTTCAGGACCCTGGGCTTATACCCGGATAAGTACGGTTATCTCTCCAGAAATCTACACATTTGTGATGAACAGATTGTAAACATTTTTGCTTATAATGTTGGTACTATTGTCGTCATGGTAGCCTAGCAACCAAAGAGATTGATATTTCAGTATTGTTGCATACACACACTGCTTTGTGCACCGTGACAATAATGATAGATGATATGTCATTTTGTTTTGCAGATTGATGTTGTTACTGAGTCTCGTCTGTATACATCATGGAATGATAATGTTGCCAAAGGTTCAGGCAGTGAAGTCAATTTGAAGTCTGGTATAATGGCTGGCAAAAGAGCTTTAAATGTCCTCCACCAGACCTTGGGAGCTGCTGATTTTAACCAGGTAAACTTCAGCCTAATGAACACTTGAATAAGTGATTCTAATAAAGATAAGTGATTCTTATTCCTCAGCTCCTGAGAGCGAGGTTATTTGTAGATATGTTGGCGATCGCCGCTGTGTCTGCTGAAGTACTATGGGAGATTGCATGATGGGAGTGAAAAGTCTTTTGATCAGTAAGATAATTTTATAAGTGAAATAAGTGAAAACTTGAGTGACTGTGAAATAAAGGTTGATTTTAAATATAAAATATCATGGAATCTGGATGAAATAATGAAAGGATATTGAACGGGTATGAAAGTAAATGTGGCAAAAATGCAAGGTCAGAATCCGGGGGTCAAAATACGTCACAATACATCCATCATCATCCATCGGCTGTCAACAACTATGGATGCGATAAAAGTCTTGATTTGCAGTTTGCGTAAATGGCCGGGAAAAATCATGCCAATTCTGTGCTTCAGTAAGAGTATTTGCTGCTTTTTGTGCAATGGAAATTAATTCAAGTAATGCTGTCAAAGGACATTTCCTTCTAGTAAACAAAACAACCCTGGGACGTTTATCTTGTTAATTAATTTCCGCTTGGACAAAACAGTAACATACAGTTTGATCTCTGTCAGGTGAGACCTCACATATGCAGGTCTGTTTGTTTCAAGATCCAATTTGAAATGGCCGAATGGCAGTCACTTTTATGCATAAAACTCATCAAAATCAAGCATTTCTGTCCTTCTGTTACAGACATTGAACATAATAGGACTTTGATACACACCATTTTGTTTTTTAGATCGTATTCAAAATGGTGGCCATATTGTTTTAACATACGCTCTCCCAGAGTCGTATTTCTGACATGCTTTAACCAATTACATTCAGACTTTATACATACAGCATGCGTCATTATTGCGTATAGCACATGTATTTGTTTGATGATTTGATTCAAGATGGCCAAGTGGCAGCCATTTTAATGTTACAATTCATCAAAATTAAGTATTTCTGTAACATACATTTTATTTCCATCCAGACTGGATTATTGCAATTCACTTTTATATAGAATACCTCATGGTCATTTAGACTGGCTGCAATCTGTTCAGAATGCTGCTGTAAGACTAAAAAACCTGATCACATCACACCAGTTTTGAAAAGTCTACACTGGCTGAAAGTCAAACATGGCATCAAGTTCAAAATCATCTTTCTAACATTTATAATTTCCATTGCCCTGATTGTTTATCTGAACTTGGTATTCATATTTCATTGCATCACTGAAGTCGACTGCTAAAACCTATTGATAATTCTAAAACACTAAAAACAGTGGCTGGCATGCTTCTTGTGACACCTAACAGTTTATGAATTTTCATGTTCAGTTGTATTTAGTTCCATCGGATGAATTCTGAAATGAGGACTTTATACATGTATGTTTTAGGTTCTGTCTGTCTATCTGTCTGTCTGTCTGTCTGTCTGTCTGTCTGTCTGTCTGTCTGTCTGTCTGTGCATCCACCTGTCTGTGGTTCTATCATCTGACATGCCTGGGCGGATTCTGTACAAAGGTTGATTTGTTTTTTTCATTTGGTTGACTTTTGATTAATTTGTGGCCATTTTTTGTCTCAAAAAAAACCACCAAAAATCACATTTGAACATGTCATTAACTGTTTCTCGGACATGCCTTGAGCAATTTCATTCAAACATGATATTGACATCACTCATGGTGGTTACCGATGTATCTTATTTTGTTTCTTGATTTGTTTTAAAATGGCTGACTGTCAGCCATTTGTTTTTTCTTTTCTCCACAACCATTTATCTGACATCGTTCAACTGATTTTGTGAAAGTAGGTAGAAAGACAATATAATAGTATACTCTGGCATATTGTTTTGTTTTGATGACTTTTGACAGACTGGTGACTATTTTTGTCTCCCACAATCCAAACTACATTTTCATAAACTGTTTCTCATTGGCCTAACACAATTTCATTCAAAATTGTGATTTGATTCAAACTGGTTGACTGGTGGCCATTTTAGTTTTATTTTTCAACTGGTTTATGTGTGGATTCAATTATGTAATATAAGAATGTTTATTCCAAGAACATGTCATTTTGACACTTTTAAAATGCTGAATACTCGCCACTCACTTAACTGTAATCTATATACATCTTTCAATGTTCATCTATAGTTGACACAGTCACAAATAACTGAACTGGACTGTCATTGACATTAACTTGTTCAATTTTAAAACTGTGCTTTTATTTTGACTTTTATGATGGCAAATTTGAATCAACTTTTGATGTTGTGACATTGTAATCTAAACTAACTACAGTTTGTATCAGGACTTGAAGAGTAATTTTTGTTTACCACCTTAGGTGTATGTTGATCAGGTAGATCAAGATATCGTAGCCATCACTCGCCACTGCCCATCCAATCATCAATCTGTGATATTAGTCGCCAGAACAGCATTCCAGCATCCTTACAACACTGGATATACTGGACATGTACCACCATTATGTATTCCAGGTAATTTATTACATGTATTAGGTTTTGTTTGCTAAGAAGCTAACTCAGAACAGGTTCTATCTGGTTCACTCCAGTCTTTACTGGTATCAGAACAGGTTCTATCTGGTTCAATTCAGTCTTTACTGGTATCAGAACAGGTTTTCTATTGTAATAATCAATTGTATCTGTTTCAGGTCATCTTGAGGAAATAATATTTGAGGCTAGACCTGTGCAGAAAAACAGTACCTATGTGAAGAGTTCATCTCACATAAATGGTCTGAGTAACTTCTCTTTACATATTCAAGAACACATTCAATTGTATGGTAGTAGTATGTGTGAGTTGTCTGATGACGGTGATCCTAACTCACCTGTACAGGAAGTGGATTTCATCAACTTTCCACCAGGAAGTGTCATTGCCTTCAGGTCAGTGTATTCTGTATATTTGTACAACTGGCAAAGGTGTTGCATAAAACCCATAGAGTGGTGCCCTCACTTGTTTCTTCTGTATAAGTTTGTACCAATTTCTCTTTAACACATTGAAAGTCTCCACTGATATAATATAAAATATAATTCACATATGACTTCAGTAAAATTCACTGTTACAAGTCATTTCAATTGAATGGACTTTTGTTTCAATTTTACTAGGTATGTATGATGACAAAATATTGCATATTGTGTGTAACCAGAATAATACTATTGAAACACTTTTTACCATGAAGAAACACAATGCACATTTTACTACAATATTATTTCCATACCATCAGAATTTATGATATAAAAACTATGAGGGTCTGTAGAAAAACGGTTAAAGACAAGATCTTCTTCATTAAATTCATTGTCAAATGTTTTTAATCTTACACAAACTCGATGTGATGCAACTTTTCGCCATGATTTTTACCTTGCCCGTACCATCAAAGATGGAAGGGTAAGGTATATTAAGGGAAAAATTTTGTCTGGCGTTGTCGTCGTCGTTAATAATTGTTATTGTGTGCATAATAACTTTACTAATTCTATTCCAAACTTTATCAAACTTGGTCACCTTATTCATCAGTATAAAGTCTTCTCTGAGTTTGAACAACAGATGTCCTGTATGAAAATATCATGCAAAAATTGAGAAAATCTGATAAAA